TTTTTTTTATTGCTTAAAGTATTACAAAGGGTATTACATATGTGTCCTTTTTTCCCCCCCGCCCTTGACAATCCCCTGGCCTCCCCTACCCCCCAGTGTCTTATGTCCATTGGTTATGCTTATATGCAAGCATACAAGTCCTTCAGTTGATCTCTTACCCCGCTCTCCCCTGCCCCCCAACCCTCCCCGGCCTTCCCGCTGCAGTTTGACAATCTGTTTGAGGCAGCTCTGCCTCTGTATCTATTATTGTTCATAAGTTTATAATGGTCTTTATTATCCATGAATGAGTGAGATCATGTGGTATTTTTCCTTCATTGACTGGCTTATTTCACTTAGCATAATGCTCTCCAGTTCCATCCGTGCCGTTGCAAATGGTAAGAGTTCCTTCTTTTTTACAGCAGCATAGTATTCCATCGTGTAGATGTACCACAGTTTTCTAATCCATTCATCTACTGATGGGCACTTAGGCTGTTTCCAGATCTTAGCTATGGTGAATTGTGCTGCTATGAACATATGGGTGCATATATCCTTTCTGATTGGTGTTTCTGGTTTCTTGGGATATATTCCTAGAAGTGGGATCATAGGGTCAAATGGGAGTTCCTGAATTTTTTTTTGAAGATGAATATGAATCTCGATGAGTTCTCTGTGACTGTTGGGATTCTCATCTCATCCCCTCCCTATATTAGAGCCCAACTTTGGCTTCCTTGAAGTTTCTAAGGTGAGGGGAAGAGAAGATGATTGGCCAGGTGTAGAGTAGATGGTAGGGATTGGCTACTAAGGAGCATGGTTGTGGAAGGGACATGAAGAGGAGGAGGAGGTTGAGCAGGCCTGGAGTCAAAAGGAGGGCTTCCCTCAGGTTGGCACCTTCATGCTTCCCTTCTGTGTTCCTGGTATTATTAACTAGTGCCCTTTATGACCTTGAGAAGGGCTTCCGAGGGCTCTCCGAAGGTCAGGAGAAAGAGGTAGGCCAGAAGTTATGAGTAGTGAAGACCAAAAAATAGAGGCTTTTGAGGCTAAATAAAGGGGGCATGGAAAGGAAGAGAAGCTAAGAAGTATCCTTGAGCTCAGGGACCAGGAAGATGCCACAACCCTTTAGAGCCTGGTTTTAGTAGTGGGATCTGAAAATGTCTCAATCTCACTGCAAGACAAGGGTGGTGGTGCTGTGTAAATGTGGGAGGAGAACCAGAGAGCACCTGCCACTCATCCTCCATGAGACCTGAGAGAACCCCAACTTCTAGCCAAGAATCCTGTATGAGTCCCCATGGAGTGGGACCTTCAGCTGTAGCACTCTTATTCCGATTTAAAAGCTGCAATGAAGTATCACCTCCACCAAAAAGTGTCCCTGACTTCCCCTTTTCTAGGACCCCCTCTCTTGCCTTCCATGGCTCCCTGT